TTAAGAGTTACTTTGACGGTTAAATTATCTATGTTCAGTGGGTTATTGATGTTATTTCGATGTACTGTACCTCATTTTCAAACTGTCCATCGCTAGCTGCTGCAACATCAAAATCCACACTTGCTTGTGTGCTATCGTGAGACGTGTTACTCTCAAAGTCAGTTTGTTGAACCATTGTAGCAAAGATGAAAAAGGAAGGCGTTCTTTCTTCTCAAAAAGGCAACGAACAGGCCAACAGTGTACCTATCCGGTTTTCAATTGTTCTGGAAATTACACGGCTTTCGACGGTTGCGATATAATTTAAGTGGGTTTCTGAATCGAAAAGACACAAAACTGAACGTGAGCCAATCGAAATCGTGTACATGACAATAGGTTCACATCAACAACGGTGACGAATTGTTTGGACCTCCCTGGAGAAAATAAGCTGGTATTGTACTTTCCTAATCGAATTTTTAACGCACCAGATACATCAGGGTGAAGGTGTTTTCAAAGCTTAAACAAAGAGAACAAAGAGCTACGCAAATGCATTACTCAATGAGGACTGTTGTGAGTGTTATTTCACAACAGTCACGTTTCTTCCACATTTTTCAAGAACTACTAATGGAATTTTTGCCCGGGGGGAGGGGGTACTGCCAAAAACATCGGGTGGGGGTGTGCGGCCCGCTTCCCAAAAGCCTTACCCTTTTCAAGACCAAAATCTGCAATTTTCCCTACCCGAATTATGACCTGACAGAAAAACTGGATTCCCTATTTATGACCGTTACGGCTGCACTGTTGCCTTAAACATAGTTTATGATGGGCTTTTGATGGTGTTATCGATGAAGATGAAAAAGTAGCTTTTTCCATAAAGCATACCCAGTTCAAGACTAGAGTTCATAAACCACACCCTATTTATAACCAAAATGGCCAAAATCGATGCCCTATTTATGACCAAAACGTTGAAAAACCATACCCACTGGGGCCGCACATACCTATATAGCCCATAGAAGGGAGCACCCCCGGGGAATTTTTGAAACGCTTCAGTAATTCAATGACGCCGCACTTTTGTCGTGATTTTGCAATAGAGAGA